TTTGAAAGAAGGACTCCTCCCGAAAAGGCAATATAGATAATGGTGAAGGCGCAATTCTGTCAACATGATCTCTGCCGCCCATCATTTCCAAGAAAAATTACAGAAAATGTGGACTAGCCTCTACATTACTATTGTGCACTTGACAAATGCCTCTTGTACAGTTAATCGGGCGGAGTTTGGAGAACCACGAAAAAATTCGGGTGATCGGTCAAATTCGCACAGATGGTACGCCAACTTTACGACGAGGTGGTGGCTAATTTCACTGGAAATGGGACAATATAGAGAGCATGTACAGTTACCAACGGAGTGGAGCAGGGGAGTGTTCTCGCCTCCACCCTCCTCGCCCTCATGTACCTTGCCATGCTGATGGAAACCTACCGTGAGAAGCGGCTATGGATCAAAAGCGCCTACCGACTCCGCTGACAACCATTCACCGCGCGGTGCCTGAACACACGCTCAGGAGTAACAGGACCTCAATTCACGACCTATGGCCGCTGATGACTGTGTACCCAATACAATGATGGAAGCAACCATGCGACGGAGCATGTGCCTCTTCACCCCCAACAGTGTCAGCTACGGTTTGACCATAAGAGTGGTGAAAATGGTTGTCATGCACAAATCGGCACCAGACACGGAATACAGAGAGACACACATCGCCATTGCGTGAGCTCAACACTCCACTATCGACAAATTTGCATGCCTTGGGGCTATAATCTCACGGAATACCGAAACTGACGACGTTGCCCTCTTCATACCGTCATAGCACATGTGCACCACGCCTCGGTCCTGTTAATCTCTTGCGAATCCACTGCACTGAGCCTGGGAAACCATTGGTAGGAGCATAAAGATACCCCCACCGTACCCGGTTTCACTGTTCGCGCTGTCCAAGGACTTCCAGGCATAGCATAGGCGCATTTGACTACATGCGCATCCTCGACAACGGAGTTCATCACAATAATGACACGACGAGCCCACCCTGTATACTCGACAACTCCCCCATTTTCGGCGTTACCAACCATCGATCCGTCAGCGCGGAAAACGTTAATAGCATCAACCCTACCTATCCTCCCCTTTGTTGCAAGTGCACAGACATGTCACACACCGGCCTGGTCGGCTACTTGAGAATCCATTGCTCAACGACTGGCGAGTCGGTATCAGGAGTAAAAACATGTACCAGTTGCCATTTTCTCAAATACTACTACTGATTTAATTCGTTTCGTTAGTTAGTGGGTCTACCATACCACATGCTCCTCCGTGCTTATCTGAGGATAATCATCACAGACTAGATCACATCACCGCACATTCCTCACCAACACATGCATCACGCGCAAATCCGTCATATGTTACCCGCCTCAGGCAAGAAACAGGCACCTCCCAACTAAGTTGAAGAAGTGAACTTTGGGCCTCCCTCATTTGGTCTCTGCGGCACTACAACGCATGTGAGGCCAGGGTCTATTTGTTCGGAAAAATGATTTGTTGTGCAGGAGTTCAAGTCGTATGTGGTACGCGCAGATGTTCTGTTTTCAGTTCTGTGAACCACTGCAGCCAATATTAGCATTAGCTGGTTGACGGGCTCGAAAGGTGGACTGGTGCCCGGGGAGGGGAGATAGAGCGACTTTCGGCTCTGAGAACCCTTTGCCCATGTCACTCAGCACATATCCCTGACTATACACAATCTGATATGGATTTGACCACGGTAATAATTTGCTATTTAAGCACAATTTGGCACAATCAAACCAAAGCCAACACGGATTTAAGGGGCAAAATCTAGACAGTATGGACTGTAATTCTCTGTGTGAGCAGCCCGTGTGCAGTCAAATTAAGGAACAGTGCTACATGCCGTATGAAAGGCTTTGACGTCCGTCTTTTCGCGTGTGGTACTTATGATGATAATATCCGTCACTTGGCTTGAGTGACCATTTTGCTCTTACCTGTCAGCGCTCTCTCCGACCTTCTCTCCAACCGCGAACAAAAAAGCGAAGAAATATTTGGAAAGACTACACCGACACAAGTAGACGTACTGTTTAAAAGAAAACCTGGTTAGTTGACGCGAGCGAGACATGACTTCTGAAATTATCCTCAGAGGGTTATATACCATCCAACTGAAGCTTTTTGCCATTTGAAAGTAATAAGATCTTGAGGTCGACCCCCGTGGGTCACTGCGACGATAACAGGGAGAATGATAAAGAGACGGCAGTTATAGAACAATTACTTGCATATTCGATAACCTATATGGTCCGTCGAATATAAGGAACAGAGCGAGGAATTCCATAAGCAAATAAGAACTGACTAACAGCGGAAGTCGTTATATGCCCCAAGAAGTTTTACGGCACATCCCAAGTGGGGGGAAGCATTAGGACGAGGTTGCGGGTCTAGAGGAGACCATCCGAAACGTATTATCTGATGAGAAGCAGAAAGTGCGACCGCTGGCCCAGTTTTCTCAATCAATGTTTACGATGGGATTCGCCGAAGGCAATCCGGAAATATAAATGCTCCAAGACACTGCCGCCACTAGAATCGTTGTCTTTTCCGCCGAAGAAGTATGGCGAATTCCCAGTCAAATGGGGCCAGACAAGGCTCCTCTAATTAATTGGACTCCTCGTATGATACTTAAGGAATTATTGACAGAGCTGGCAATGTTCTTTTCATCTCTCTACGGATTGACAATGAGAACAGCGGACTCGCCTTAGCAGTGGGAAACAATCATGAAAGTTCCAATATAAAGGGGAGGTAGCGGGTAGTGTTTAATGTATACACCAGACTTGTCCTTATGCAAAATGATGGAGGTCCTCGTAAAGTGAGCCATACTACAATTTTACGATGAAAGAAGCACTCAACGGCAATTTAAACATGGCATTCATGAGGGCGCTGCTACCTTTCAAGTCTGCTGACTTTACTGGTGGTCTGGACCAGCACTTTGAAAGAGGGCTTCGAAGCAGATGTGTTGTATGTCGACTTCATCAAAATCTTCGGCGGTGTCCCATGCCGACGACTTTCACACAAACCAAACGTCCTTGGAATCAGGACACAGCTTCTGAATTGCATGAGGGCACTTCAAGTTGGCCGAAAACTACGCGTCTTTATCGTAGAAGATGGATAGAACAGGTAACTGCAACTAGTGGTGTTGTCAAGGCCGGATCCCGAGGCCCTTACCCTCCATTCTCTATGTTAATGACGGCTTTCGGGGACTTTAGTGCAGTATGACTGCGTTTTTCAGTGATGGGAAGACAGAGAAACGTTAGCGACAAGACTAGGGAGACTAAAGTGACCATTTTCGGCTTGTTAGTCGTCATTAGACAGCCATGTACAACCCCGACGTATGTAAACCCCAATGAGCGAACATGAGACCTGTTGGTTAAAAGTCAAGCCCCTTTACTATTGACCAACGGGCTCGTCCTCCTGTCGGTCGCCATCGGATATACTAATATTGATAGATGCGAGCACTTCGATCACTCTATGCTAATCTCAGTAATACTATTCTGCCTATATTACGTACCGCTTTTCGACTGTTGGCGGAGCTCGTAGGAGAGTCTCAAGGCACGAAAGGACAAATAAATT